GGGGGGGGCTCAGGCCTCAGGACTGAGGGCTACAGGCAAATTTTGGGGTACAGGCAGGGTTGGGGACACAGGCACATCGTAGGGAGCCAAGGGGAGACCCAGGCACCCATGGAGCCAGGTCGGGGGGTCTCTGTTTGACGCCCTGTGGTTCCCCCCACCCTAGGCCAGGTTGGGGGGGGGACCCTGTTTGACCCCCCGTGGTCCCCCCCAGGGATATTTTACGGCTTCAAGGGGTTGCTGCTGCTGTTGGGCATCTTCCTGGCGTATGAGACCAAGAGCGTGTCCACGGAGAAGATCAACGACCACCGAGCGGTGGGCATGGCCATCTACAACGTAGCGGTAAGCCAGGGTGGCTATTTCGCCACCCCCACACCACCCCATCGTCACCCCACAACTCATGCGGTGACCCCAAAAACGTCCCCTTCCTCCCCACAGGTCCTCTGCCTCATCACGGCGCCCGTCACCATGATCCTCAGCAGCCAACAGGACGCGGCCTTCGCCTTCGCCTCGTTGGCCGTCGTCTTCTCCTCCTACATCACCTTGGTGGTCCTCTTCGTCCCCAAGGTGCTGGTGGGGAAAGGGCTGGAGAGGGGGGGGTGTGGGGTGTCTGGGTGTTTCTTTTGGGGTGGGGCAGGAACAGTTGTCCTACAGCCGCCCTTGGAGTGTCAAGGTGTTGCCTCTGTAGACGTGGAGGTTTCTTCTCCGGTAGGGTGATGGGAGTTGGCGATGACAGCCGGCAGGAGACAGTCGGGTGCGGGTGTTGCCTCTGTGGGGGGGACACGACACAGGGACGAGCAGGGGCCTGTTGCAGATGCGGCGCCTCATCACCCGAGGTGAGTGGCAGTCGGAGCAGCAGGACACCATGAAGACAGGGTCATCCACCAACAACAACGAGGAGGAGAAATCCCGACTGTTGGAGAAGGAGAACCGGGAGCTGGAGAAAATCATCGCCGAGGTGGGTTGGGAACGGGGCTGAAACCCCCAAAACGTGGTGGGTTGTAGCTTCAAGGTGTTGCTACCCATGCTAAGCGGGGTAGATCGCCTTTGGGGCACCACCACCCCAACAACAAACACCAACACCAACACCCCACCACCGAATTTGTCACCCGGCAGAAGGAGGAACGTGTCTCTGAGCTCCGCCAGCAGCTCCAGGACCGCCAGCAGCTCCGGTCCCGCCGCCGGTCGTCCAACCCCTCCCGTGAGGCTGACAACCATTTCTCACCGGGGTTAAGCGCCGCCACGGCCCCCCCGGCCCCCTTCTACCAGCCCAACCTCCCCCTGGTCCGTTGCCTGGTCTCGGAACAAGCCGACAAGCTCGGCCGGGGCAACTGCGACGGTAGCCGCGTTCATCTCCTCTATAAGTGACCCTCGGAGGGGCGGGGCTAAGAGCAGAGGGGAGGGGCTATTTGCCATGGGGTGGGGTCAGTGGGTGGGGCTAGGCAGGGAGGGCAGAGCCTCTTTGCCTTATTAATTTTTTTTTTTTAAAAAAAAGTCTTTTCTTCTTAATCTGGGGGTTCATGGCTCTGGCCAGGTCCCCCCCCACTTCCCGCAGGGCTCCAGGTGTCACCTGCCCTCCAACTGTTGTCAGGCGGAAAACTATGGGGTGGGGTCAGGGGGAAGAAGGGTGGTTCTTAATTAAGGGGGGGAAGAGCAGAGTGAGCGAGGGCTGAATTCACATGGAAACACCCCCCCCAAAACTCCCCTACAGCCACCCCATGGCCCCTACAGTCACCCTGTCTCCCCTACAGTCATCCCACCTCCCTCTCCACTCCAGCTGTAGCACACAGTCGGACAGTCCTGCTGACTCGTCCTCCTCCAACCTGTCCCTGCTACATCCCCACGACGTCCCCTCCATGTCCCCCCCCCACGCGCTGTTGCGCGCAACCGGAGTTCAGCTCCCGGTGTAGCAAACAACCACCCTGTTCATCCCCTGTTGACGGTGTTATTGTAGCCCAGTGTTGATACAGGTGATGCGGGGGGATGCAAGCTCAGGCCCGGGGATGCAGGTGGTTGTCTCGCAAGTGGTAATTCCTGTAGTTTAATGTCAGGCTGTAGTGTACAACTGAGTCTAGTTAAGTCTAGTCAGACTGTAGTGCACAACTTGTACGTACAATCAAATCGTATTGCACATCAGGATCGGTTACTGTAACGCGTGGTCCGGCTGTAGCCGACGGCTGGTTTGGCATCAGTTGTTGGTACAACTGGATTCAGGTTTTATGCTGTATTGTCCGACTGTAGCGCACAACCAGCTCCGGTGAGCACAGTCGGAGAGTCTGTGGCTGAGGCGTGAGCACAGGCGGAGAGTTTTTTATGCTGTCTCATCTGCCTGTAGCTCACACCCAGCTCCGGTGAGGTGTAAGCACAGGTGGAGAGTTTTTATGCTGTCTCATCTG